TAATAAGGCTCCCGACCCGGATGGATTTCCGGCTGAGTTCTATAAGAAGTGCTGGCATATTATTAAGGGGGATTTGTTGCCTTTGTTCAATGATCTCTTCTCTGGGCAGCTTCAACTTTTTCAACTGAATTTTGGAACGATAACCCTTCTTCCTAAGAAAACAGAGGCTATGAGAATTGAGCAATTCAGGCCAATCTGTCTTCTTAATGTTAGTTTAAAATTTTCACCAAGGTCGGGACTAATAGGCTCACACAGACCGCGCATGCTGTGGTGCAGCCTACCCAAACTGCTTTCATGCCGGACAGGAACATCCTTGAAAGGGTTGTGGTCCTTCATGAAACGCTCCATGAGATTCACACGAAAAAGCTAGATGGAGTTGTTTTAAAGGTGGATTTCGAGAAAGTGTACAACAAAGTCAAATGGCCTTTCCTTCAGCAGGCCTTACGCATGAAGGGTTTTGATGAAGCTTGGTGACGCCAGGTAGAATCTTTCACGTAAAAAGGGAGTGTTGGAATTAAAGTGAATGATGACATAGGTCATTATTTCCAGACACATAAGGGCTTGAGACAAGGTGATCCAATGTCTCCTATTATGTTCAACATTGTGGTTGACATGTTGGCAATTCTGATAGAAAGAGCAAAGGAGGCCGGTCAGGTGGGTGGCTTGGTGCCTCATCTAGTTGATGGTGGTGTGTCCATCCTGCAGTACGCTGATGATACAATCATCTTTATGGAGCACGACTTGGCAAAAGCGAGAAATATGAAGCTGGTGTTATGCTTATTTGAACAATTGACCGGATTGAAGATCAATTTTCATAAAAGCGAGTTGTTCTGCTTTGGTAGAGCCAATGAGGAACAAGAGGCTTATAGGCAATTGTTTGGATGCAAATTGGGGGCGTTACCTTTCACGTACTTAGGTATACCCATTCACCATCGTAAGCTGACAAACAGAGAATGGAAGAGCATCGAAGACCGGTTTGAGAAGAAACTCAGCTGCTGGAAGGGCAAACTCATGTCATATGGAGGCCGACTGATCCTCATTAATTCGGTGCTCACGTGTATGCCTATGTTTCTCTTATCTTTCTTCAAAGTCCCAGTTGGTGTTAGGAAAAGGCTGGACTTCTATCGATCCCGGTTCTTCTGGCAGAGTGATGAACTAAAGAGAAAATACCGACTTGCCAAATGGGATATCATCTGTCGACCAAAGGACCACGGGGGCCTTGGTATTGAGAATCTTGAAGTCAAAAACAGATGTCTTCTCAGTAAGTGGTTGTATAAACTTTCAGTTGAAACTGAGGCCACATGGGCGCAGATTCTACGTAGTAAGTATCTGCAGTCCAAGACGTTGTCCCAAGCGACAGTGAGACCGACATACTCGCCGTTTTGGAAGGGGCTTATGAGAGTCAAAGCTGCCTTCTTTAATAGAACAAAGTTTATAGTCGGTGATGGTAACACCACTCGCTTCTGGGAGGATACTTGGCTTGGTGAAACACTGTTAGCGTTTCAGTATCCGTCCCTGTATCGTATTGTTCAACGACGTGATGCTCTTGTTGCCATGATTTTGCAGTCCATCCCCCTTAATATTCAGTTTAGGAGGGCGCTTGTGGGCGACCGGTGGGAAGCATGGCTTCATTTGGTGAGTAGACTAATGGAGGTTCAGCTATCTCATCAGCCCGATCAGTTGTGTTGGAAGCTTACTAGGTCTGGAGAGTTCACAGTTAAGTCGATGTATATCGATGTCATTAACTCTAGTGTTATCCCTAGTTCCAAAGAGGTTTGGAAAGTCAAAGTTCCTTTGAAAATTAAAGTGTTTATGTGGTTCGTACATAAACAAGTCATTCTAACAAAGGATAATTTGGATAAGCGCAACTGGACAGGATCTACTAGGTGTAGTTTTTGTGATTGGGACGAAACCATCAAGCACCTCTTCTTTGACTGCCCATTGGCAAAGGTTTTATGGCACACGGTGCATATTGCCTTTAACATTACTCCTCCGAATTCGGTCAACGTGGCTTGTTGGGGTAGAGTCCGAAACAGCTAGACACATTCGTGTAGGAGTATGTGCTTTGTTGTGGGCAATTTGGAATTGCAGAAATGATTTGGCTTTTAACAGAACAACGAATATTCATTTTTTGCAGGTTTTATTCCGAGCTACTGCGCTGATCCGTATGTGGTCCTTACTCTGACGGAGGCCAGGGAGCGTTGGTTACTGGATCTGTCCGGTGGGAGATGGTAGCACGGGATATCTTCAACCGGTTTGGATGGCGGTCATGTAATAGGATAATCAATTAGTTTACCTATCTTTGTTTTTCCATCTGGTTGTGGCTTTTGGACCTTTTGTTTTTGGCTCTTTGTGAGCTCGCCGTTTTTTTTTGTTTTCAGACTTTACGACCTTGTTGAACACCTTTATTTATCTATATATGTGGCCGCATGCATCGTTCTGATGCAGAGGCCGGGGAGTCCCCCCTTTTCGAAAAAAACTTGAAGGTTCCGATTCAATCGCATCACTCAACAACAATAGGACGATAATTGTCAGGAAAGAAAGAAGAAGTGGGAGAAAAAGAAACCAAAAACCTTAATTTGTCCTAGTAGCAAAAATTTGGTGGCGCGTTGGCCGCCAATCACCGAATTAATAGGGTAGTAGCTAGCCTCACCCCGCGAATCGCCTGCCTCGTTCAAGGGGACAATCTCCGAGGCAGGGCCACGAGGAGGGGGGCCGGGAGCCGTTGCGCTTCTACCAGCAGATCAAGGACAACGAGGACCTCACCATGCTCGTCGTCCCTCCCAAGTTCGTGGAGGTGATGGACACCTGGCTGGTCATCAAGCGACTCCCGCGCATGGTCAGGCTGTCGGCGAACAAGCGGTGCGTGTTCTCGGTGCAGGTCCAGAGCTTCAAGGGGCACATGGTGCTTGGCCGGGGCTGGAACTACTTCTGCCGCCGCCACCGGATCGTCCCCGGCGACCTCGTCGTTGTGCGCATCTCAGGACTCGGACTGAAGGTTCAGATCTACAACCACGACTCCTCGGTCATGTGCAGGTTTCGTTGCAGCAGGCACAACTGCCATGGTGACATCGAGCATGCTATGTAGTTAAGTTAAGTAAGGTGTTAGTGTTGAACTTTTATGATGTGTGGCGAGACTTATGCTAGGAACTTGTTCATATTTTGACCAGGAGCAGCACCCTGGCATGGATCAGGGAAGGATGATGCCCCTGCTGTTAATCTAGACTCATGCTATGTAGTTAAATTTGCTGTCATTTTCTTGCTTGTTGTGTTAAGTTTGCTGTCATTTCCTTGCTTGCTTTCTTTGATCTTGCTGTTGTGCTGATCATGTGGTGGTATGGCCACCACATTTGAATGGAGTGAGCAGAACACAAACGTTATTTGCAACCAAATAACTGAAGTTTGCATCTACTCACACCCTAAGCACAAAGACGCCAACCAAACAGCAGGAGGGTAAGTGCCCCTCCATGCGATGCAGGCAACCAAACAGGTTGCATCTGCTGCATATGAGGCTGCATTTCAAGAACCAGGCTGGCTGGAGATGGACATGCAATGCAACTACTATTACAAACTGCAACCAAACACGCCACAAGTGAATCGTTCGGATCTGTTGTAGATTTACGATCATTCGGAAATAGATTTGTTGATCTTTAAAATGAAATGGCATAGCTCCTGTCGATTGCTCGAGAGAAAAAAATACTCCCTTAGTCCCGCAATAATGGTTCTGACTTTGTATAAAGTTGTACTAGTGCTCTCTCCGGTCCTTTTTATTCTGCATATAAGAATTGTCTGAAGTCAAACTTGCTAAATTTATACAATATGAAAACTAAAGTCATGATGCATCTAATGTTATTTATTTCACATTCTAAATATTGGTATTTTTTTTCTATAAACGTGATCAAACTTTACGAGGTTTGACTTCGGACAAATCTTATATGGAACTAAAAAGGACCGGCGATATCGTTGGTGGGCGTGTGAAGGTGTGCCTCCGGCGGATCTATATTTGGTGGATTTGCTCGGATCTCGTCGTTGTTCGTCTATGTTCGTGTGTCTTCGGATTGAATTTTTCTGATCTACGTTATTCTTCATCTGCGGTGGTTGCTGTTCTGGTGCGCTGGTCCTACGGGGCCTGAGTACGACGACTTTCCGACTGTCTACTACAACAAGTTGTGCCCGACTCCGGTGATGGAAGGGCGATGACGGCGGCGCGCCTTCGGCTCGCTTCAATGCTGATAGTTGTCGCTAGGTGGTCTACGGATCTGGATGTGATTTCTATTATTTCTGGTATTCGTTGTACTGCCATGATTGAAGATGAATAGATCGGAAATTTTCTCAAAAAAAAAAGACCGAAGGAGGCCTAAAGAAAAAGGACCGAAAGAGTACTTGCCTATATAGCTGGCCAAACGGGCCGGGCTAAACAGGCCGGCCCGCGAGCACGCCGGCACGACCCGCCATGGGCCAGGCACGGCACGGGCTAAACGGGCCGTGCCCGGCACGCGGCACGCCTTGGGCCGTGCCTGGGCCTGGAGCCTGGGCACGCGGGCCGGCACGACACGGCCCGTTTAATTTTTTTTTATATTTTTTAGATTTATATATATATATATATATATACCTAAAATACAGCCCAATAGGCCTAAAAACCAGCCCAGCAGGCTGAAAATGTGCAGCCCAGCGTGCTAAACGGGCCATCGGGCCGGCCCGTTTACTAATCAGGCCGTGCCTGGGCCAAGGAGCAGCGCCCGTGGGCCGGCACGGCACGGCCCGGCTATTAAACGTGCCATGGCGGGCCGTGCCGGGCCAGGCACGATTAGCACGGGCCGTGCCGTGCCGTGCCGGGCCGGCCCGTTTGGCCAGGTCTGCTTGCCTACTGCCGAGTTTGCTCCGCCGGTTTCCTAGAAAACATCGCAGGGCCTAAGCCAGAAAAACAGGGTGTAATAAATCATCAAATTCCCCAATTGTTTACTACTCCGAGAGTGCAAGCTGAGCTGAGCCATCCGGCCATGGCGGAATCTGCGGTGGCCTCGGTGGTGCGAGCGTTCGGTACGCTGGCCACCGAAGAGGCCGCCTTCCTCCGCGGCGTCCACGCCGACGCCGACCTTCTCAGGGCCGAGCTCCGCCGCATGCAGTGCTTCCTCCGCGACGCCGACGCCAGGCGCCGCGACGGCGCGCGCCTCACCAACTGGGTCGTGGACGTGCGCGCCGCGGCCTACGACGCGGAGAACGCGCTCGAGGAGGCCGACTACCTCGGGCGCCGCCGCCGCCTGCGGCTCGGGTTCGCGGGCGCCCTTGTATGGTGCGCCGATGTCGCCGCGCTTCACACGTTCGGCGTGAACATCAGGCGCGTCCGGGCCAGGATCCGTGAGATCTCCGACGGCGCCGCAGCCTACGGGATCGCTGATCTTGGGGAGACCACCGCCGTCCCAGCTGACCTCCAGGAGCAAGACGAGGTGATCCCTTATGACCTCAGCTGGAACAGTGCAGATACTAATTTGATTGTTGGATTCCATGAGGAGAGAAATAATATATTCAGAGAGTTAATGAATCATAAGATTTGTCAAATTTGTGTGATCTCCATAGTTGGGATGGCTGGATCCGGCAAGTCCACGCTTGCAAGGAAAATTTACAACGACCCCCGTGTTAAACAACATTTTCATTCCTCGAGTTGGATTTCAGTGTCCGAGAAGTACAGGTTTCTTGATCTGATCAAGGATATTGCTAGGAGGATCATGGGTATGACAAGGAAAATGATAGTTATTAGAGAGGAGAAGGACAAGGACAGAGAGGATGGTGGGGCAAACAGTGGTAGCAAGTCAAAGGAGGTAACCATTGAAGAATTGGAAAATATGGAGGAGGATGATGTATTGAAATTCCTGCACGAGTTCCTCGCTCATAGAAGATTTCTTGTAGTGTTGGATGATGTTTGGAAGAGTAATTCTTACAGTAAGATAAATAGGATCCTCAGTGTCTTGCCGGATGTGAACAATGGTAGTAGAATCATTTTGACCACCCGGGATATGGATGTTCCAAAGCATGTCGCCAGGATGAAAAGCATTCATGAGAAGAAGCTTTTGGACGGGAGGGAGAGCTGGGAGTTGCTTGAGAAGATGTCCTTTCCAGTGTACCAAAATGTCAGCAGTGCTGATCGATCACGGTTGATGCTGATAGGAAAGAAATTGGCATTGAAATGCAAAGGGTTGCCACTTGCTCTTGTGGTCTTGGGAGGTTATCTTTCAAGGAACTTGGACTATGACATTTGGTCAGGATTGGTTCATAATCTAGACTGGGAAGCTCGCAAGAATGACGAGCCAGTCTGGAACATCATAGCTAGAAGTTACAATGACCTTCCTAATCACCAATTGAAATCATGCTTTCTTTATGTAGCCTCCTTTCCAGAGGACCATGTCATCCGCGTAGCAAAACTTTGCAAGCTGATGATATCGGAAGGATTTATTCCACATCGGCCGAATCGGACAATGGAAGATACAGCAAGAGAATATATAAAGGAGTTGGCACAGAGATGTATGCTCCAAACTGTTGAAAGGAGCAAGTGGCATGGCTCAATAAAGAGTGTAGTTCTCCACGATGTGCTTCGTGAATGGGGTATTGCAGAGGCAAGGAGGGAGGGATTATTCAATATTTGGAGTAATCCGACCGATTCTGAGGCACCCTCCGATTCGATAACGGCTTACCGAATTGCTCTCCATAACTTTGTTGGATGTACTGAGATTAATGTGGCCATGCCGATGCTCCGCACCTTGTTGGTGTTTTTCAAGTCACCAGCAGTATCACTACTGTGCAGGATGAAATGTCTCAGAGTACTTGATCTTTATGGCCTAAAAGAACTCAAGTCATTACCATCTGGCGTTGGCAACTTGATACATCTAAGATATTTAGGATTAGAAAAATGTGGCAGTGGATCGATTGGCATTCCTTCCTCAGCTAGCGATCTCTTGAACCTGCAAACTATGGATGCAAGAGGGTCAACAGTAAAATCACTACCAGGACTCTTTTGGATTATTCCGACCTTGAGGCACCTGTTTCTTAGTGAGGTCAATCACTGGGTTCCTCCGGAGGTTGGATGCCTTGGCTCGTTGCAGACTTTGTACTTGTGTGAAGTATCTTTGTTCCGTGATGTCAAGAGCTATCTTTCACACAAGCAACGCAGCAGGGCTAGAAGTGCAAACTATTCTATTGCTCTCAGAAACGAGAAAATATGGGCTGCCTTCTTAAGATCTTTGGAGCAAATGGAGCAGGCCGTGCTCTTACACTTGGAGAGTTGGGAAGTTGCGAAAGGGTTTGGTCGTAGATATGCTTCTGGGAGCAGAATACGAGGGCAGGTCTTTTCTGCGCAACTCATCAGTAGCATTTCGCGCCATAGGCATCTTCAAGTGCTAGAACTGGCTGGAAGGTGGAAGCACGGGGATAGCCAGCTAAGCAAGCTCCCTCATGGCCTCAAAAAGCTCAAGCTGATAGGTTCTGAACTGAGTGAAGACCCAATGCCTGTGCTGGGCTTCCTTCCGAATCTGGTGGTGCTTGTCTTGGAAGACAACGCTTTCAAGTGGAACAGCATGACATGCGATGCGGGAGGATTTCCTAGGCTGTGCCACCTGACAATTGACGGCATAAAAAGTGTTGAGTCTTGGAATGTTGAAGCTGGGGCATTTCCTTCACTAACTCATCTGAATCTTATATCGAGCTTCACTGGGATGTCCCTTCCTCCTCTAGGACTGTTGCATGTGACTTCACTTAAGACATTGCTGCTGAAGCGGCACACTTGGAATGGGAGCACTATTTCCTCCAGTAATGTTGGCAAACTAGAGGAGATGGGGTGCAAGGTCATCATTAGATGAGATTGGAAGAATATTTAATCATGTCAAACTGCCCTTGTCTCAGGATCAGGAAACTTTATTGTACGCTTTTCATCCCATAATAACTCATTTGATATCTTTGCAGAAGATCAAATAGTCTATAAATGGTCTCATCCGTTTTTACTTGGCTTCCAGGTCTCATCTTGATTGATGCAGCATTTGGATGATCTAATCTTGCTATTTTCCTCTCATTTTTGTACTGTCACAAGAACTACTACTACCTGCACACAAGATCTTTGGACCTTTGTTATGAAATGAAAATGGAAGTACATCATTCTATACTTATTCAGTAGCTCAGCAGCACAGCCAAATGTTGTTCTTCCAGCAATAGACGTGGGGACTGTAATTCCAAATGTGCAGCAAATAGAAGGATGCATAGCTGGTTCTCTGGCTTAGCTGCCCAAGGAAAAAAAATCCATTGCATGCTTCTTCAGAGGCATTTTTTGTTCGTGCAGCTGCTCTGGAGTGGAAACATTCGTGTCCAGTGAATGTTGTGAATGCTGCCGTAGAAGCAAAGGTAGCTTTGCTCCGACACCCTTGTCACTGTCGTTGCTCCAACGGGGCAATGAGAGGCCTTTGGTTGGCAGTGTCATATCCTGCGAGCTGGTTTGTGTCCAATACCAATGGGTGATCTTCTGCAAGTTCTGCCCATGCTTATTTGGTTACTGTTATTACAACATCAAGGATTGGGTGAGAAAGACCAAATGTGAGGTAATCGGGTGGGTTATTTGCTAGACATCTTTTGCTTCCCACTAGTAGTATGACTGACAATTTTGTGTTTACATTGAGTTAGTGTTTCTGCAGCCATTTTCCTGCAAAGATAGCAACATTTAATGTACCATCGACTCGCATAGTTGTGAATTGTATGGTTGGAAGAGTTTCCTATCCTATTCTGTAAATTGCTAATGTTAACCGAGAAATTGTTCAACGCCTCTTCCAAACTGTCAATTGTGGTGTACTCCCTCCATTCCTAAATATTTGTCTTCCTAAAGATTTCAACAAGTGACTACATACGGAGCAAAATGAGTGAATCTACACTCTAAAATATGTCTATATACATCCGTATGTGGTAGTCTATTTGAAATCTCTAAAAAGACAAATATTTAGGAACGGAGGGAGTAGTGAGCAGTTGAGAAGGGAGTAGTGAGCAGTTGAGATTGTGTATATTCCTGTTCGGTCGTTTAGCACAAGAATCCGTTTTGTTATGTAGGGTACTCCAGTCCAATAATGCAGTTTCTGCAAGACATGGTCATTCTGTAAAGAATCCCTAGAAGAACGAATGAATTCCTTGGAGTGACATGAAGTAGGGTAAATCCATAATGCTCAGTTTAGAATGAAGAGATACGAGGATGACTAATGTTCTGGGATGCATTCATCTGCGGTCCGTGAACTAGACATGCTACTGCATTTGATAGCCTCGAAATGAAACATGATGTGGAATTGTACCAACCCAAACTCACATTTCATACTACACCCCGCCAATATCTATTGTATTATGAACTTGATAGCAGATTGTTCTCTCCTTGACTCCTTGTGATGAACTCGCTGCGATGTATGCTAATTGAAGCAGCGTCAATTAATATGGATTGTACTATCGAATTTTATACTAGCATATTGTCCTTCATCCAACCAAAGCTTGGTCATACAAATCTACGAGTGCACGCTATAAGATGCGATACACGAATTCTACTTGTGATAGAAAACGAAAACAGGTGAAGATGAGCTAGAAATCGTTAGCCAAATCTGCAAGGAAACACGGACGGTAAGGAAGGAGCCACATCACACGACCACGTACCACCACTCTCCTTGCTTTAAAACTAGTCCTAATTTGGCCAGGCATAATCAGCATAATCATTACCATACATCCAGGGGCTCCATCTACTAACTTTACCCCAAAAGCCATGGACAGGATGCACTGCAAACATTGAGCCATGTGATATGCGTGCAGCAAAGAGGGGAAAAAGGACAATTCCGGAAAGAGGCCAACCACAAGCAGGGACAGCAGGCCTACCATACATGAGAATGGCAAGTTTGGAGCTGAAATCAGACCATCAATCATCTCATATCATACTAACATGCTTGCATAACAGATCGGGTAAGGAACCAAATGCTAGCACAAGTACATACGCTCATCACATCACATGCCCACTTGAATGTTCCAGTTCAATCGCATAACTCGACAACAATAGGACGATAATCGTCATCAGCAAAGAGAAACAAAAGGGAGAAAAAGAAACGGAAAACCTCAATTTGTCCTAGTAGTAGCAAAAATTCGGCGGCGCGTTGGCCGCCAATCGCCGAATTAATAGGGTAGCAGCCAGCCTCTCCCCGCGAATCGCACGAAGAAGACGACTGGAAAGAGTCCGCAGGGGGGAATTTTCAGCGGTGCGCCGTGACGAGCGTCTCGATGAAGCGCAGCCCGTCGAACCGCGGCGCGAACTTGTCGTCGCCGCTGGCCCCGCTCGACGCCGAGGAATCCTGCGGAAAGCAGAGCATGTAAGAACAGAGCAGTCCAAGAAGCCGTCCGTGCCGTCGTGATCCCAAATCAAAATCGAGAGCGGATTGCTATCGTAGGAGGAGATTCTTTGGGGAGGGAGGGAGGGGAGGAATTAGGGAGAAGGCAGGTGAGGGGGGAGCCGTGATCCGTACCCGCTGGCGGAGGAGGAACTCGTCGCATCTGCCGATGGCGACGGCGGCGGGCGGCTCCGTCGGGGCGCAGTCGCAGGCGAGGAGCTCGGCGCCGGAGGCCACGGCGACGGCGGCCGCGGAGGCGACGGCGGCTGCGACGCCCCACATCATCGTCGATCCAGCAGCCACTTTCCCCTCCTCCTCCTCTGGCTGGTAGGGACGGAGCGAGGGGGAGAGGTGTGAAGGCTGGGAATTCTTTGCTTGGGCAGGGCAGGCTGGAATGGAGGTCACGGCTAGCCGCGTAGTGCTTTTTTTATACGGCGCTACAGGAAGGAAGGCGCGGCCGGACCTGAGCGCGGAATTTAACGGGGTTGAAATGCCGGAGCCGCGTCCGGGAAAGGTGGCCCGACGCGGGCGGCGGCGGGAGGGCAGACGGGGTGTGAATTTTGCTGGCGAATGGGACCGGTTTGCTGTTAGCGAGGTGTCTGGAAATTTTTGGCGCGTCGGTTGGTCAGCCACACTGAGCAAACGCGCAGCACCGAGTCGGACGACGCGCTGGTCGGCGTGAGCGTGAGCGAGGAACAAGTCAGAGATGGGGACGACGCGGCTGGCTGTGGCGTCGCTACCCCGAGGCGAGGCAGAGGGTTGACGAGTGCGGGAGATGGTCGTCGGTCCCGGGAGGTGGTGGGGATAGAGGGAAGGCCGAGAAGCGGAGGTGGCGGTGTTGACAGGGTGAGGAGGCGCTGCAACGACGAGCACGGTGGCGAGCGGGTCAACAAGAACGGGACGGAGGGCAACGACTTGTATGACGTGTCCAAATTCGTTTCACATTTGTGTGATCAATACCTGGTCTCCGTTAGTTGGATATAGACGTGTGGATGTCGCCGCTATCAAATTTGTAAGACGAAAAGGGCAAATTACCCGTAAAAAGAAAATTTGAACAAATTTAACGACAATATACTAGAGGGTTATTTTGTCCTCTTTACAAAATATACAGCTCGATCCTTGTAATCCTAGCTTCCTAGGGCACAAACGATAATGGACCATGACATCGGCCCACACTTTTCGAAGTAAAAGTGAAAATTTGCTTTAAGGAAACACAAGTTGCCTTCTTTCTCGTTTAATATAGTTTATTCAAACCATTGCATGTCAATAATATAGAAGAAAGAGACACAAAGTCTTGAAAAACATCGATGACCCAACAAGTAAAACAACACGGGCAAAAGACAAGTAAAACAATACGGGCAAAAGATTGTGAAAGCTAAGACAAAAGCTACCCTATGCGAATGATGCCCTCATGCATTTAGCGCCCACCTTAGATCAGTTGAGTGCGTCACATTTGGTTTTGTCTAAAATATAGACAATGGAGCTAGCTTTGTTATCAAAAACCCTGCTATTACGCTCATTCCAAATTGTCCAAGCCACCAAGATGACCATGTTGTTTAACTTCTTTTCCCCAACCAAAGGTGCACTTGCCCTAGTCGTCATCCATCAAGTCGGGTCAAAAAGGAGCTACGTACAACTGGAGTAGTATTAGGAAGGCCCATCGATTCCCGAGTTTTGAGCACCAAAATATGTTAGATACGGTCAACGTCCTCCTCATTGGCATTACACAGACACAACTCTCATTGTAAGGGAGATCTTGTCTAGCGATCCTCCATACAAAGCCATTTGCGGACAGCAAGCCACACGGAAAATTTTGCAACCAATAAGGGCGCAAATCTTCCATATGGAGTTGCCCACGGTACAAAGCAGATGGTCCTCAAAATAGGCTTTGTAAACCAATTTTGAAGAGAAACAACCAAAAGAGTAACAACTAAGTCCAGAACGTCCTCTTGTCCTTGAATTAGCCAAACATCCAATAAAAGTAGAAGACAAAAATGACAATTTCATTTCGAATGAAGAGAAGCCACCGTGACCTCCTCCACTATAGGCAAACTAGTTTCTGTAGGGGAACGCAGTAATTTCAAAAAAAATTCTTACGCACATGCAAGACCATGGTGATGCATAGCAATGAGCAGGAGAGTATTGTCCACGTACCCTCGTAGACTGTAAGCGGAAGCGTGATGACAACGCGGTTGATGTAGTCGTACGTCTTCACGATCCGATCGATCCTAGTACCGAAAGTACGACACCTCCGCGATCTGCACACGTACGGCTCAGTGACGTCCCACGAACTCACGACCCAGCAGAGTGTCGAGGGAGAGCTTCGTCAGCACGACGGCGTGATGACGATGATGATGAAGCTACCGGCACAGGGCTTCGCCTAAGCACTGCAACGATATGACCGAGGTGGATTATGGTGGAGGGGGGCACCACACACGGCTAAGAGATCAATGATCAACTTGTGTGTC